AAAGAACCGATGCGCTCTGTGTACTACATGTCCTTCTTTCTTCCTGCCAATATCAGTGCCAACGTTACACAGAGTGCATCGGTTACGTCACTTGCAGTCCGAGCTTTTACCAAGTGCAGTGCAGCATTGGGAACGGCCAAGGGCTGAGACTTTCGGAGGACATGTAGTGCACAGAGCGCATCGGTTAAATCACTGAAACAGCACAAGAGCTGGAATGTACAAAGCAGATCAACGGGCATGCCTGAGAACGATAGGCGAAGCTTGTCAGAAGGCTGAGTTGTTTTTTTTTTTTTTTTGAACAAATGCTCCAGTGTATTCGTGGGGAGCAGCACGTGCTGGGAACCGGGCCCAGCGTCGCATATCGAATTATACAGATCATTGAGAAAATTTGGCGTCTTTTGAGGACATTTGGGGTACCGGGGCCATTACCCGGCTTCGGCTGAGAACAAACTGTGAAACAGAGTCCTACGAATGCTCACTACCCTGCTGAGGACATTTGGGTTCCCTAACAAGCCCTTCTAAGACCGTCTTACTCCCTGCTGAGCTCTTCCAGGCCTCACGCCCCCACCCTGCTGGGTTACAGGGCAACACAACTCGCCCCAGCTCCGACCAGCGTCAGAAGGCTGAGTTGTTACCTTGTGCACTGTATAGGATCGGCAGCACTATGCGCTCTGTGCACACTTGCGAAGAGTCAGACGCTTCAAGTTGCGACATTGTTGTTCTTTCCACACCTGGTAAAATTGGAACGATACAGAGGAAGAAGATTAGCATGGCCCATGCGCAAAAGGATGACGTGCATAAATTGAGAAATGGTGCAATTAAAAAAAAAAAAAAAAAGAAGAAGAAGAAGAATCCTTCGCCAGCTTTCTGGTTTCCCACAGCACGAGATCTGAGGGACTAAAAGCCTATGGGCTATAATAAACTGAACTTAGGCTTTCCTCCTGGATGCATCTGAAGAGCAGTTATGGCCATGTATATTCAGTCATCAAATCCTTAGTTTGGTAATCCCTGAGATGAAATGTAAGTGATATAAAAGGCTCGAAACCTTTCATGTCCTGCGGTTGCCTCGGAATCCATCAGGGATTTCAGCGTACAGAATGAGACGTCACAGATTTGTTTTGCGTAGCACAGACTCTTCCCATGAGAAGCGTAAATGACTCCATGACCACCGCTCCTCAAATCTGCAGCTCAAGCCGTGAGTGTGACCGCACTCTGTGGATGAAATCGTGCCGCGGGGTAGGCTAAACATTTCCTCAGCACAACACACTGTTCACCCGAGGTGTGTGCAGGGTAGCTGAGAGGGCCACGGTTGGATCCGTGGGTCTTGCCGTGTAACGGTGGGAAAATCCAATGGTCTTAGGTAGATATCCTGCTTAGGTGGGCTGGTCCACCTTCAGAGCAGGTGTAGGTGGGCTGCTATACTTTGCCTTCATGAGCCCCGGGCAGGGTCCCAAGCAGCCCCAGCGCCAAAACATAGAAAAAAAAGACCAAAAAAAAAAATCTGGAAAAGAAAACAATGTTGTGTAGAATTGCAATGCAAACAACTTTTGGCTGAGGGTCACATCATAGGTAACGCAGCGCTCACCGCAGCGATAACGTGACACCCCTGGTCGCGTCTGGGCGTTGGGGGCTCGCGTTAGGGTTGACGATGACTGTTGACCTGAGGTGCTAAAACTTGACGTCGGCGAGGCTATGGTGTCGCAGGGAAGAGCGCTGGGGCGCTAGTGGGCCACGCT